ATTAGCAGAGCGTGATTAATATTTCTTATAATAAAGTTCCTCCCCACTGTTCTATTTATGTCCCTAACATTCCCCACTGCTATTTCTATCATCTTATATCTATGACATTAGTTTTAGGTAAAAAGTCTCGCCCTAACTGGTTTGACACTGTGGTGGATAGAGTGTCAGCCTGTGGACTGAAGGGTCTCAAGTTTGGTTCCTGGTCAGGGCACATGCCTGGGTTGCGAGCTTGACCCCCAGTAGGGGGCATGCAGGAGGCAGCCGATGCATGATTCCCTCTCATCATGGATGTTTCAATCTCTCTCTCCCTTCCTCTCTGGAATCAATAAAAATATATTTTAAAAGTCTCATCCTGTTGGACTGCACTTGCGTTTGCCTTGAAAGCAGTTCATGGGGATGGAATACAGTGAATGCAAGAAGGGAAAAGAGGAAGACACTGGAAGGAGGCTGTGCAGTTAAGGGAGTACTTATTTTCTGTTTGCCGTGGACACAGGTGTAGCTGATTCAGGCACCGGTGTGGCCGGCTCACATTTAGCGAGTGTCTCCCACACCCCCTGCCTGTGGTAGGTGCTAGGCTGTGGCCGTGAGCAGAGGGACTCTGTGCCTGCCGTCATAAAGCTAAATAAAGCGAGGCAGGCAGCCAGAGAATGACTGCACAGAAGACAGCATTGCACGTGGCAGTAATGACCTGGTATTTTAAAGAGGAGATGAAATTGGAACACCGTGAGGTGGGGCATCCGCTTTAGACGAGGTGCACGGGAAAGGTCTCTTGGAGAAGGGCCATTCCATGACGCTTCAGCGAAGGGTGAACGAGGAAGGAGCAGCCGCATGAGTTGGGAAGGGGAGGCCATCTTGAGGAAAGGAAAGAAGGACCCCCAATCCGGTGTCCTTCTTTCCTTTCCCCAATCCAGAAAGCGGTGCTGTGGAGACCAGAGGAGCCAAATCGAGCAGCGTCTGGGGTCGTTGGAGTCCTGCCGCCGTCCACGCCCCGGCTTCTTCCAAGTCCCCTTCAGTCTCCTCAGACCCAGTCACCCAGAACGCTGCCAACAAGAGCAGGGCTTGCACCCTAAGCGCTGCCTGCCCAGAGACCACAGCCTCCAGTCCTGCTCCTTCGCTGTCTCCGTGTCTCAGTTTCTCCACCGAAACATCCTTCGTGTCATTCCTCCAAAGCACTCACCTTTCATGGAACCACAACACGAGGCTTACAAGAGGGAATATCACTCCTCTCCATCTTGTCTCTTCTTTCTCCTTCTTTGCCTGGGCCAGCTGAGAGGGAGGGAGCCCTCCACATTTGGGGGCAGCAGACCATTATGAATAAAATGCTGACCTCTTGCCGAAACCGGTTTGGCTCAGTGGATAGAGCGTTGGCCTGCGGATGGAGAGGTCCAGGTTCGATTCCGGTCAAGGGCATGTACCTTGGTTGCAGGCACATCCCCAGTGGAGGGGGTGAGGGGGGGGTGCTGGAGGCAGCTGATCGATGTTTCTGATTCTATCCCTCTCTCTTCCTCTCTGTAAAAAAAATCAATAAAAATATATATATTAAAAAAATAAAATAAAATGTACAGCATTCCATTAAAAAAAAAATGCTGACCTCTTTAAAAAAAAATAAAAAGGTATCTCACAGGCTTGTTATGTAGCTCCAGCCACTGGTGCTTCGTTCCCCGCCTCACTTTTGCAGAAGGAAGGTGTCAGGCAGTGAGGGAGGCTTTGGGTTGGGAGCAGGTGCCCATGAGAGCTGCCACCCCTCCATCGTCTCTCCTCTTTCCCCTCCCTCCCTTCTCTTCCCTCCCCAGGAGCCTCATCCTGGCTTTGTCCCTGTGCTGATTATTGCTTTATTACTGTTTTCAGTCAGCTATAATTCTGGCATTTTCTATATTCTCGATCTTTTCACTGATACCAGATTTTTATACAAAGATTTGTATATAAAATGATTGTGTACCCACCAGCATACATTCCCCAGCAATTAGAATGTTTAAGATGCGGCTCCTGACGCTCCTTCCGCACGTCCCTCATTTAGCACTTTCTAAAGTGTTTTTGCGATTTTTGTGAGCGGGTGTGTTTACCAATCCAATAACAATTCTCATTTAGAGTTGCAAAACACGAAGCCATTTTGAACCCAGACAGATGGCGGCTAAATGAAGTTTAATTAAAGAATAAGCGCTTTGAATCAAATCCCTTTTAAAAAAGTACAGTACACTGAGATGCTGGAGAGGCTGCATAAACAGCATCTGGCTGTTCTAGAGAAAGCAGGGGGGCGCGGTGCTTGCGAGGAACACACTCGGGAAGCCCACCACATCGGATGAGGACTGAGCAAAACAGGCAGGCAGACTGAGACCGGTTTGGCTCAGTGGATAGAGCGTAGGCCTGCGGACTGAAGGGTCCCAGGTTCGATTCCGGTCAGGGGCATGTGCCTTGGTTGCTGGCACATCCCCAGTGGGGGTGTGCAGGAGGCAGCTCATCAATGTCTCTCTCTCATTGATGTTTTTAGCTCTCTATTCCTGTCCCTTCCTCTCTGTAAAAAATCTATAAAATATATTTCAACAACAACAACAACAACAGGCAGGCGGGCAGGCGGCCCAGCTGTCCTCTGCCCTAAGCCCACACACACCTCCCAAAGCCCGGAGCTCCCGGGACAGGAGGGGAAGCTGCCACAGGCCACCTCTTGGCTCAAGAGCTTTGACTAGGGTCGGGGTGGGGGCTAGAGGATGGGGGGGGGAATCCCCTTCTAAGTTTATGGAATGAGGGCAGGCACCAAGGCGAGGTTTGCTGCACCAGCCCACTTAATTGCACGCATGCATGGTGCAAACAGACCGACTGCGGCTGGGGGCGCTCTGCACCCCACGTCCTGGATCGGTGTCCCAGGCTCTTACCCCGGCCCCGCCCCCCTCCTTGCAGCTGCTGGGGGCACACGCCCCCGCCCTCCCTCCCCGCCCCGCGGGGACCCACTTCCGCTCTGGCCGCCGATCTGAACGCCGGGCGGAGGCGGCGGGGTCGGTCTAGACTCCAGACAGCGGAGCGGCGCCAGCGGCCGGGAGGGTGGGGGCGCCCCAGGCTGCAGCCGCCCCCCCCCCCCCCCGCCGCGTGGGGACCGCCGTGGGGGTGGGTGGGGGGGTGGGAAGGGGACAGGCCCTGGGGTGAGGGGCAGCGGCGGGGACAGACCAGGAGGAGCCCGGAGCGCCCGGTGGAGATATTTGCACCCAGAGCTGTGGAGCTAGAAAAGCAAAGAGGTTTTTAATTCCGGGAGCGCCAGGGTTAGGGGTTCCTGGTCAGGGGGCTGAAGGCCAAGTGTCCGCTGGGGCTGGCCTTTTCTTCGTGGGCAGTTTCCGCCTGGAGGGTGGTGGTCAGTGGAGGGGGTTGGCTTTCCCCTGATCCTGCAGAGAAGAGATCCGGGGCTTGAGGATGGAGTGGGGTGAGCCCCGGGGCCCCTGGGATGCGGGAGGGAGGTGGTGACACCAGTGCACTGAGGAATAGTTTGGGTGGAATGTGCCAAGCTTGTGGTCACTGGCTTCTTCCGTCACCTTTCCGGGAGGAAGCAGAGTCCTGAGGCTGGGAAGCCCTTCCTCCCAGCTGGGGGCAGGGCTGACCCCGAGGGCCGGCAGAAGTACTGGACTGTCATGTACTCAGCTGACTCAAACCCAGTTCCTCCAAGTCCTGGGCCTCTTGCTGGATCTTGGCTGGGTCTATGGTCACTCTGATCCTCCCACACTCCAGACCAACTGACCTTCACGTTCTGGTGGCTGACCTTGTTCTTCTCCCACCTGGCCAAACCACTGCCAGCTCTTGCTGGAAAGACTGAAGAGCCTCCCATGAGGTCTTCCAGCTTCTCTCGCCTCTGACCTTTCCCCTCTGCAGGAAGGCAGACCATTACAAAATGTGGCTCTGGTCACGGCTCTCCCCCGCTTCCCTGGTACTCCCAGCTCGGCCTCCCTGCCCTCCCCCTTCCACCTCCTAAACCTGGGAGAAAAAGGATGTATCCGGGCCCGAGTGCCTTGCTGGGCCGCCCCTCAGTGCAGCACCATGTCCCAGCCTGCTGCCTGCCCCCACCTACCCTCTCTCTCACCTCCTGCCACGCTCCTCTGCCCCCCTGCTCCCGTGACTTCCTGTTCCTGGAGACTTCCTGTTCTCAGTCTGGCTTTGCATCCGGTGTGCTCTCCTCCTAGAACACCATCTGTCCACCTCTCTCCCCCCACGTTCTCCCACCAACTCCACGTGCTCCTGGCCTCAGCTTTGGGGACTGTTTCCTGACGCTGCGCCAGGGGAGGTCGCCCTGCCCTTTCTCATCAGGACCCTCAGTGCCCGTGCCCACCTTCCCCACCAGGCGTGAGTGAGCAGCCCCAGCGTGCCAGGCCCTCTGACGTGTTTCTGCCTCTGGTCTGACCCCTTCTCCCACCTTTCTGTCTGCCCCCACAGCAGTCTTCCTGAGACACAAGTATGAGCCATCATTCTGCTGTTCCAACACCCTGAGCTCTATCGGATCATTGTTGTACACCCTATCCTCCAGGCCCAACCCAAAGCTCCTTCCCTCCAGGAGCGCCCACACTTCACAATCATACTTGGCAAGTCTCACTTCACCCAAGTCATTGGGGCCAGGACAGCCCCCTAGCACACTGCGTGCTTGGGGGCTGGTTGACTCCTTGTCCTGAGGTCACATGGGCGCAGCAGCAGAGAAATGGAGTCTGTACCCAGACACCAGAGCCCAGAGGTCAGGGGTACCACTACTATAATATTTTGGCAAGAAAGGAGGGCGTTGGCAGGCCATCTGAGCTGGGTTTCCTGACCTCGTTCTAGGGATGGCTGCAGCCGCGATTCCAAAAGAGAAGACACAAAGGCAATTTTTTTTTTTTTTTCTTTTTTACTTAAAAAGGCCTTGGTGGCAGGAATATAGTGTAAAAATCATTGGAAAAACTAAAAGGCATCGATACATATCCGAATATACACTTTGTACATAAATTACATTTCCTTTAGTCTTTCTGAGTGAGGTCCTGATTCAGCACTGAGGTCTAGTAATTCAGAGGTCCCGGCAGCTGCACGTTCAGGCCGGCATAGTCCACCATGTACATGGGCCATTGCTAGAGAGAGGGGGACAAACGGTCCCGGTTAGGATTCCAGGTGATGCAGGAAGAACACCAGAACCCTTAGCTTCGCTTTCTGAAGGGCTTCCTCGGATGCTGAAGGCCCAGAGAAGAGACATGACCTGCCCAAGGCCACACAGTCCGTCAGTAGCCACAGAACCTGGGCTGGAGCCTTCTGGCCTGTTCCCACTTGCGTCTTAGGGACTAATTGTGTGGACCAGACAGGAGGGCCAGAGGGAACTAGCGATTGGCTCAGAACTCCCATCAACAGCCCCCTCCAGGTCTCACACTCCCAAAAAGCTGTCCTGTCTCTCTGGGACATGGGGGGAGCACCCAAATTATCCAGGTAGGGAGAAAGGCAAAGCCTGAACTTTGGGGTTTTCCAGGAACGGAATGAAGGGAAACATGGTCAAAGGGTAAAGAAATCCTGAACTATAGGAGGAAGAAAAGAAAAAAAACCTATAACTATATATGTTAACTACTTATTGTGGTGATCATTTCACAATATATACAAATATCGGATCATTATGTTGTACACCTGAAACTAATATAATGTAGGGCATTATATTGTACCTAAAAAAAAAAAAAAAATCTTTTCTAAATGTGTTCCAATATTCTTCCCATTTGGATTCAGGATTTCCAAGGTAATATTTTGAAATCAGAACGAACTCTCCAGCGTCTGCCCCTAAGGAGGCTTTCCTGTTGAGGGGGAGAAAACCAAAGCCAGCCACGTGGCAGAGCAGGCAGGGCTCTGCAAGAGGTTCTCCAGCCGCCACCTGCTGTAGTGAGGTCACACTGTGGAGAGCACCCTCATCTCCCACGGCTGAGGGAACACCATCTGTCCACCTCTCTCGCCATGTTCTCCCACCAACTCCACGTGCACTAGCTGGGGCTGGGGCTTGAGACGTGAGCAGAGATTAGCTTAGTATCTGACTCTCCCCCCAAAATGGGGACTCTGCTCGGGGTCCTGGGCAGGTACTACTGGGGGAGTGGACAGGTTCTTTTCCTCTCTCAGCCTTGGCTCGCCAGTGGGAAAGGGATTGTCTGCCGGGGCAACTGTGAGGTCCCGATGAGTGGGGTGGACCACCTTGTGGGTAGATCAGGCAGCTGTGTCTGCAACCCCGGGCTGTGGAGCCCACTCAGAGTCCAGTGCCTCCCCGCACCCGGAACCCACACCCCACAGTGGACGGCCCTGCCCGAGTGCAGGGCGAAGGCCAGAGAGAAGAGCGCTCAGGTCCAGATCTGTGCAACTTTACCACGAGTGAGATCTGGTTGGTGGATGCCACGGACTCTGGGTTGGAGGACGAGGAAGAGGAAGACGAGGAGGAAGAGGAGACCGAGTTTCCTTCGGAGACCCGCTTTCTCTTGCGCTTGGGGATGCTGCTGTCTTTGGCTGGGGGGAGGAAAGGCTGCTGACACCAGATGCCAAGACTGTGTCTTGTCTTTACCAACCCCTCTGGAGAGGGCCTTTGTGTCAGGTTTAGAGTCCCCTTTTCACCACTCAAGACTCCCAACCTACCAGAGGTCCCTCTCTCCAGCCTCCTTCCCTAACTAGGCCCCGCAGGCCATTCGTCCACCTCTTGCTCCTGCTTACCTGTCTGCCTTTGCTAACACTATATCCTCACCCCCAGGGAGGCCTCCCCAGAACTCCCAGAATTCCTCTGGGGCCCAGAATCCCATGGTGAAGAGCATGGCTTCCTGAGGGCATTGGGAGAGTCGTTACTAGGTGTACCGGTTACTAGTGTGGATTTTTGTCAATAGATGGAGTTATACATATGTTGACATATATGCCATTTGATATGTATGCTAGTGTTAACATCATAGATATTTTTATACTTAAAAATGTCGAATTTTGTGCCAAAAAAAGCATTTGTGGGAAGTTTTGATTGATTACTTTATTTTGAAGAAAAGTGCTGTTGAAAGTTATTGTATACTTCAGGAAGCTTATGGTGAACACGCTCCATCTCAAGATACTTGTGAACGCTGGTTTAAATGCTTTAGAAGTGGTGATTTCGATGTGAAAGACAAAGTACGTCTAGGTCAATCAAAAAAGTTTGAAAACCAACAATTACAAGCATTATTGGATGAAGATGTGTCAGACTCAAAAACAACTTGCAGAAAGATTAAATGTTGCTCAGCAAACAAATTCTGATCATTTAGAAGCAACGGGAAAGATTTTAAAGGAAGGGAAATGGGTGCCACGTCAACTGAATGAAAAGACAAATGGAAAACCGAAAAGTCATCAGTAAAATGATGCTTCAATGGCACAAAAGAAAGTGTTTTTTGCATCGAATTGTAACTGGAGATGAAAAGTGGATTTATTTTGAGAATCCCAAACGCACAAAATCAGGGGATGATCCAGATCAACCACTAACATCGACTGCAAGGCCAAATCGCTTCAGAAAGAAGACAATGCTCTGTGTTTGGTGGGATCAGGAAGGATGGAGTATTATGAGCTTCTAAAACCAGGTGAAACCGTTAATACTGATTGACACTGATAACAAATAATCAATTTGAACCACGCTTTGATCGTAAAGTGAGAAGACACAGCAAAGTCATTTTGCTTCATGATGATGCACCATCACACACTTCAAAACCAGTTAAAGACACATTAAAAGATCTTGCTTGGGAAATATCTACCCATCCGCCATATTCACCAGACCTTGCTCCTTCAGATTACCACTTGTTCCCATCTATTGAAAAAAATCCGCATTGGTAACCGGTACACCTAGTAAATGTCCCTGCGCCTTCCTTTCCTTGCCGGTAAAATGTAAGTAAGATTCTTTAGGGCTGCTGGGCGGGTCCCGTGAGATGATGTGCATGGTCTCCTGTAAATACTCAGAAACTGAGAATTGGTATCGATATTATTGCTACTGTCCCTGCATGACAACCCGAACCTCTCAGATTGACAGTTCACAGGGGCCAGGAGACAAGGCAGTGCCCCAGTGTAGAGAGCTCCAGTTTAGAGCCAGAAGTCCTACGTTCAAAGTTCAGGGCTGCCACGTACCATGTGTGTGACCCTGGGAAACTGAGGAAGCTCTTTGAGCTGAAAGTGGACAACCAGGTGCTGCGAGACTCCAGGAGGTTGTGTGTGAGAGAGCCCGGGACCGAGCCCGCACAGAGCAGGTCTCGGCAGGTTCTGCTGCTGCTGAATTAAATTGATGTGAGGATCTAAGTTTTATAAAAAAAATATCTGCAACTGTGCGCTACACAAGCGACAGCCCACGAGAAGGGTTTTAATGACACAGTGTGAGGGAAGGCTGGGCCCAGGGCAATTCCTTCTCCGGCTGGTGAAGGAAAACGGGGGATCTGTGATGTGACAGAAATAGAGACCCCGGGAAACAGGAGACTCTGGAGGCAGGACTAGCCTAGGCTGTGAGCCGGGAGGAGATGGATTTTGTGGGCGGCAGGTAGGCGCTGCTGGAGACTGGCTGGGCCCCCCGGATGCTACCCCAGGCCCTGGGCTTTAGAAACGTTCCTTTGGCAGTCTCCCTGGCCAGGGTGTGGGGGTGGGGGGGGATGTAAGTGACGGCATCTACCTCTGATAATGTCCCAAACTCTCCTCTTGGAGGCCTTCTCAGGGCCTTGTGTCTCTGCCTTTGACCTGGGAGCAGCTCTCAAACCCAATCACCTCCCACCCTGAGTGCCTGGTGCCCTGCTGGGCCTTTGTAATGGGCACATGGTAGGAGGAGGTGGTCTCTGGTTGGGCTGTGCCACCTCAGGCAGTGGTGTCCCAGGTGAGCCCTAACCTATGGGCAGGCGGGCCTCAGGTTTCAGGCTGGGGTGGGGTGGCCTTGCTGAGCCCCACTGCTCTCCCCACGGAACAGCCATAGACCACAGAGGCCTGCAGTTCAGATGGATAACCTGCACGCAGGGCCCTAGGCAGCCACCAACTCACTGTGTGGCCTCGGCCAGTCCTTCCTCCGCTCTGGGCTCGTTTCCCAGCTGAACAATGAGGCCACCCCTCCCCGCCATCGTCTTGAGTGCTACCGCACACCTTCTCAGTCAGAACTGTCGTCCAAGACCGTCTCCCTGGTCCCTGCGAATGGGAAGGCTCTGAAAGCCCAGGGGCCGGTGCAGGCACGCGCCCTGCCAATGCAAGTGGAATCCAGGAGGGCTGTCCAGCCAGTCTCGGAAGTACCTGGTTACCTTGCTCCTGCCAATCATGTCACTCCTTCCAGAGGGCCCCTTGGTAATGCACATGGATGACCTTTACATTAATGTCAGCTGTGTTTGAGGTGAGTGGCAGGGCCTTCCCGGAAACAGCCTCCCAAAATGTTAAGTACCGATTTCTTATCTTTATCCCTGTGCTTGGAATGAGGAACAAACAGGACCTTGACTTACCCAGGTGTTGATATGCTAAATCCCAGGAATGAGGGAATGAGTAGGACCTTGACCTTAAACCCCCGTGTGGAAATCAATAAAGGCGCTGTGTTGTCTGTGGTGGGTGTTGACTGTCCCTCCATCAGAGTGACAGCCTCCACCCGGCACCCAGCTTGATGAATCTATTTCTGCCTCTTGTCTCTTTCTTTCTTTGATTTCTTAACCCCCAGCTCCTCCACTCAGGAACCTGACCTTCTCCCTTTCCGTGCGAGATGTGGAAAAGGGAGAAGCACCTCACCATACCCAGTCACTTTCATGACCCTATCTGAAGTCCCCTCCTGGCTCCAGCCGGCCCCTCATCCTCTGCCTCCAGTTGATCCGGCAACCCTCTCAGCTGAGGCAGGGACCCCCTCCAAGGGCACCTACAGGCTTCCTGGGGCCTTTTGGGAGGGTGGGCCCTGCAGATGGAGATCTCAGGTTACCTGGAGGAGTTACTGAGCGGGAGGGACAGACTGTTCTCTACATGGCCAGACACCCGCTGCATGCCACCTGTTCTATGCCCATAGGTCGGTCCCTGCAAGGCAGAAGGGTGCCTTCTTCGGCCTCTGACTTACCTGGCACCTTGGCGTCATTGCAGATTTCTGCAAAAGGTCTGAAAAAGAAATGAGGGGGCAGTCAAAAAATGAGGTTTCTCTTCCTTCTCACTGGATACGCCCCGTATACGGACATCTCTTGCGAGATGATGCCACCACTGCCGCTGGAGGGCAGCCAGGGAAGACCCGGATGGAAATGGTCAGCATCCCCCTCCCCACAGAGCAGGCAGGATGGCCAGCCTGGTCTCTATTAAATTGCCGTGTATCAGGCCAATGGCCCCTAGGGGCCTGGTTCCCTCATCTCCAAAGCGAGGGATCAGAAATGTATGGCTCAGTTTATGTCAATAGATATTCATCACAGCATCATCATCATCATCATTATTATTACAAATCTTTTATTTTTATTTTATTTATTTATTTATTTTTTAAATATATTTTTTATTGATTTTACACAGAGAGGAATTGAGAGGGATAGAGAGTTAGAAACGTCGATGAGAGAGAAACATCGACCAGCTGCCTCTTGCACACCCCCTACTGGGGATGTGCCCGCAACCAATGTACATGCCCCTGACCGGAATCGAACCTGGGACCTTTCAGTCTGCAGGCCGATGCTCTATCCACTGAGCCAAACCGGTTTCGGCCAAATCTTTTATTTTTAAATTTTATTTATTATTTTACTTGCAGCATGATTAATATGAACCAAAAAAATTTAGATGCAACTCAAATGTCCATCTGTAGAGACCATATGGCCCATCGTACGGTCATTAAGGGAACTCTCATGGACACAAATAGCGCTCAAGTGCAACCAAGACAGCCAGGCAGGAGACATCAAGTTTTATTTAGTCTACAGACGAACACTGTGACCTCCGTTTCATTGTCTCCAGAAGCCTGTCTCAGAGGTATGAGAACAAAGTGGAGGCAGGGCTGGAAAGCCCCTGCATGTCTGTGGTGGTTTCTCTGGGAGCTCAGCCTGTGTGTGGTGGAGGGGGTGTGAGGGGGGTGACGGGCATTTTCTCCTATGAGCTCCTGTATTTCCCAGTTGTTACTTCAGGGGGTGGAGTGTGTGTGTGATGAAACCTCTATTCTTCACTGGAGACCTTTCTGAATGATTTGATTTTTTGGTACACATCCAAATCTCATTTTATTTTTAAAACTCAAAAGGAAATATGCGTAGGGGAACGATATGGAAGAAACACACCACAATGTGGACTCTGAAGAGGAGAGTTGTGGATTATCTTCTTTTCTTCTACCTTTTTAGGCTTCCCTGCTTTGTTTTTAAATCTGAAAATAATCAAATAAACTATTCTATTTAAAATATTATAAGGCTATATGGCAAAATATGGACAAAAACAAATAAGAATAAAATATCTCTGGGTGGCCGGGACCGGTTTGGCTCAATGGATAGAGCGTCGGCTTGGGGACTGAAAGGTCCCGGGTTCGATTCCGGTCAAGGGCATGTACCCTGGTTGCGGGCATATCCCCAGTAGGGGGTGTGCAAGAGGCAGCTGATCGATGACTCTCTCTCATCGATGTTTCTGACTATCTCTCTCCCTTCCTCTCTGTATAAAATCAATAAAAAAAAAACAAAAACAAAAAAAACAAAAAACTCTGGGTGATTTAATGCCATTAAAGTTGTATTGCCAATTAAAATGGGTAAAAATTAATGATAGAGTCAGAAAGTCAAATTTGATTCAAAATATAAAAATAAACACCCATGACTGTTGCGGCTGTGTGTTTTAGCAGAAAGGGGTTGTAATCAGGACACCTGGTGATACAGACTAAATGACTGTGTCCCCCAAATTCATTGTTGAAACCTAGTCGCCAAGGTGATGGTATTAGAAGGTGATTAGGTCACGAGGGTGGAGCCGGGGTGAATGGGATTGATCCTTATAGAAGAGGTCCCAGAGAGCTCCCTTGTCCCTTCCACCATGTGAGGACACAAGGAGAAGGTGGCCATCTGTAAACCAGAAAGTGGGCCCTCACCAGACGCTGGATCTGCGGGTCCCTTCCCAGCCCTCAGAACTATGAGAAATACATTTCTGTTAGGCCACCTGGCCTATGGCATTGTTACAGCGGCCTGGACAGGCTAAGATCCCTGTGTCTGGAACCACATTGACCCACACTGACTTTCACCGCCCCTTCCCTCGAACTGGGTACCAGTTTTCTGAGCTTTAAGATTCCAGTGCTAAGCTAGCAGGCCTCCCGGATCCTGTGCAAGTGCATGATGGGTCTCTCAATCTCTCCCTCCCCTTCCCCAGTCTAGGCTGGGCCTGCTGGGGGATTCCCTTCCCAGATCCAGGCAGCGCCCTCTCCCCGGCCCTCAGCCACTCTCCCACCCTGCCTCAGGGGCGGGGCACTCACTGGAGCTGGTTGATGATGACCATGCGGACATGCTCCCGGGCCTTCAGGATCTTCTCCAGCCGGTGGATGTCGTATGTGTTGGGGTTCCGGAAAGGGATGTCGTCCGGCAGGCCCGTGACCTCGACGGCGTCTGGGCTGTCCCGGATCAGTTTGTAAGGGACCAGCACAGGCCGGTTCAGGCCCAGGGCCTCACCTAGAGGTCACAGGGGGTCAGGGTAAGGAGATGTCCCCTGTGAAGGCCAAGCCCTCTGGGAGAGGGCTGGAACCTGGCAGGGTCCAGCGCAGTAGCCATCACAACTCCAGATAGTTAAAAAGTCAACACAGCTCTGCCTGGTTTGGCTCGGTGAATAGAGCGTCAGCTTGCAGACTGTAAGGTCCCAGGTTCAATTCCGGTCAAGGGCATGTGCCTTGGTTGCGGGCACATCCCCAGTGGGGGGTGTGCAGGAGACAGCTGATGGATGTTTCTCTCTCATCGATGTTTCTAACTCTCTATCCCTCTCCCTTCCTCTCTGTAAAAAGAAAAATCAATAAAAAATATATATATATTAAAAAAAAAAAAGTCATCACAAACACACCATTTATCCAGTTAGCAAAACTACAAATCTAATACCCAATGCTGATAATGAAACAGGTGCTGTCACAGGTGCCGGGTGCAACGATTTGTCAAATGTGCACACCTGGACCTGACAAACGAGGACTCGCTAGCTGCTTAAAACCCACTATTTTCATTTAGAAAAAATTAAGTCCTTAAGTATTATGCATGAAATGATGTGATGTCTTGGATTAGTTTTAAAGTATTACACATATCAAAGTGAGTATGCAGAAACAGATAAAATAAGTCTGGCAAAATGTTGGTAATCACAGAAGCCGGGTGTGATGGGCATGGGAATGGGCCGCTCGGTCATTCTTCCTGCTTTTGTTTGAAAACAGGTTCCAAAATAAAAAGTGAAAAAGACAACAGCACAACCCCCCACCTGTGGCTTCCCACTTACTCTCAAAATGAAACCCTGACTCGCCTCGGCCTGCCGGCCTCCCTGCTGCACCGGGACTCTTGCCCACCTGCGCGCACTGCTCCTGGCCTCCGCCCTCCCACTGGGCCCTCTGCCTGGCAAGCTTTCACCCCAGTGTGTGTCCCCTCTGGACATTACAGTCTCAGCTGCAACACCCCTCCTCGAGAGGCTTTCCTGATCACTAACCGGGAGGCCTCAGCCTCCCAACTCCTAACCCGCCCGCTCATTCCTGCCTTTTCTTCTCTCCCTGAAATTGTTCTTTGTAAAAAATTTACTGTATGTCTCCTCTGCTACAACGCAAAATGGAGACAACACAAAATTCATCACAGGTCAGTGTAAATGCATGTAGAGTCCTTGGTACAGCCTGCCACTCAATAATCTACAAAGTGCTGTATCGCCCTAACTGGTTTGGCTCAGTGGATAGAGCGTCGGAGGTTGGATTCCAGTCAAGGGCATGTACCTGGCACATCCCCAGTGGAGCATGTGCAGGAGGCAGCTGATTGATGATTCTGTCCCATCAATGGTTCTAACTCTCTATCCCTCCCCCTTCCTCTCTGTAAAAAAATCAATAATAAATATATAAAAAGAAAGTGCTATATCAACTGTAACTGTATTAACGGTTCCACCCTGGACTCGGCCTTCAGCACAGGGCCTCGCCTCTCCTGGCTCTCATCTTCCCATGCCCATCTCCCGCCGGGGCCTGGGCTCCCTGATGGCCAGAGCAGACTGCTTCCTCTGGAGTCCTCAGGGCTGAGCTGAGCACTGGCCGGGCAGACGGGCGTGTGCATAAGTAAATACTTGGCCGTGGGCCATGGCCTCTGCCACAAGCCCAGGCCTGGAGGCGCAGAAATGCTGACTGCATACCACAGACTGGTGACTGGTTCTCTCCCTCCTCAGAAAGGGGCACGGAGGGGCCAGTTCCCATCCGTCACGGGCAGAGCAACTATGCTCTAGCGAGCTGGCAGGCCGGCTGGGGGCAACTGGAGGCCATGCTGGCTGCAGAGGGAGGAGGGGCCACCCAGGAAGTCTGGCCCCACAGACCCTGCCCCAGGGGCCCTGCCCGCGGGAAACTGACCGTATTTCTCATTGAAGAGCTCCTTCACCTGCTCCCGAAGGATCACCTTCTCCCCAAGTCTGTTGGCATCGTCTTCATCTATGAGAGGAAGACAGGGGGCATGAGGGTTGGCATGGGCTTGGCCATTGCATCTGCTCCTTCTCCCAGTGGCACCCCTCACCCTCATCAGCTGGAGCAGTCTCTCCAGGCCCCACCCACTCCCCTGCAGCCAGCTTCGGTCCCCATCCATCCATCCATCCATCCACCCATCCATCCACCCATCCATCCACCCATCCATCCATCCATCCATCCATCCATCCATCCATCCATCCGTCCACCCCTCATTCTCTGAACAGCTCCTCCAGCACAGGCCCCGTGTGCAACAGGAACAGCCTGGAGAGAGGGAGGCAGGGCCCCTTGACTGAGGCACTCACCGCGCAGAGAGGTAACACACAGTCCCAGCACCCACCCAGAAGAGACACCTTCAAGGAGACATGGGGCATGAATCGTGCAAGCCCAGAGACGCCCCCTGGGAGAGCCAGCTGTCTCAAGGGTGTCTCTCCTTCTCTTAGAAGGCTGAGAAGGATGGAGTGGGGCTGGGAAAAGGCACCCAGGCAGAAGGACTGGCTCATGCATGGCACCAAAGGGTGCAAGGTCACAGCATCCTGGATGTGGTGGACGCCCAGGTTGGTGCTAGGGGAAGTGGCTGTGATGATGGGTCCAGCAGTGGGTACCAGTGTGACTGAACTGGACTAACAGGCACTCACCCTGCCTGCCTCACAGTCCACCAACCCCAGGGAGACAGAACGCACCAGGCAGTGAGGCTGTGCACCCTTTCTGCCAGGACAGCTCTTCATGGGGCTTGGACCTTGTGTTCCCCTCACCCCTCTCTTAGGCTTAGAAGAGCAGTGGGGTCAGGGGAGCCCCAGCGACAGGGCCTGGGCTGGGGGATTGGAGTGTAGGAGAGGCCAGGGGGGTGGACGGCATGAGGAGGGTCCCGGGACAGCAGGCTGCTGGCTCGTGGCCTGAGCTGGGGAGAGAGCTGGGGTTCCAGGAAGGGCACTGTGCCCCGTCACACAGGAACTCAATACCCACACTGGCGGGGCCTCGGCCGGGATGGGGGCGGAGCTGGACACTGGCAGGAAGCCAGGCCTGGGAGATAAGGGGCGGAACAGACAGATGGGCCTAGGAGAACAACGCCTGCTTTAATCTGGGAAATCTCACAGAACTCAGCTCCATGGAGAAGGCCGACGAGGGAGCGGTGTTTCCCCGGCCCAGCATCTCTCAGTATCGGCTGTCCATCTGCACACGCCTCTCCCAGCCGGGGAGCTGCCCGTAGGGCAGAGAGCTCTCCGCACTGCCCATGCCCCTCTTCCCCACGCGCCTTCACTGCTGCCCCTTGTCCTGCCCTGATCGGGGAGGGGGGGGGCTCCTGACTCTGGAGTCTAGATCTGTCGTATCTAGAAGGTCCTGCCTGTCTCTTTTCAGCTATAGGGATGCCTGAGACACAAAACACCAGGTGTCCCAGCTAACCTCCTCCTGCGTCCCCCTCTCAGGGGACGGTGGCTGTCCTCTGCCGCACCAGGACCCACAACTCAGCCCCCCCAGAGACCCCCCTCCCACCAGCCCCAGCCCGGCCCCTCCAGATGGTCTCCAGGACCCTAGACCTGGCTAGACCCGAGTTGATCCTTCTCCAGGTCCTGGGAAGACAATGTGACAGAGTCCTGGGCCCAAGGACCACCTAGCGCAGTGGTTCTCAACCTTCCTAATGCTGAGACCCTTTAATACAGTTCCTCATGCTGTGACTCCCAACCATAAAATTATTTTCGTTGCTACTTCATAACTGTAATTTTGCTGCTGTCGTGAATTGTAATGTAAATATCTGTGTTTTCCGATGGTCTTAGGCGACCCTGCTAGCAGTTCTCAACCTGTAGAGCCTCAGCGTCTCCCCACTTCTTTGCTTTTGTTTAATTTGGAGGAAAGACGGTCCTTTTTTCTTAGAGGATCGGTGGAATAAATGGGCCGGGTAGGTTCTGGGGGTGGGAGGGTTGGCGGGGAGAGTGCCCCTGCCCTCTGGGTGCTCAGAGGAAGCAGGAGGCAGCTCCTCGGGCTGTGGGGGCAAAGGAGGGGCCCCCTTTCTGGGAGGAAACCTGAACCAGAGGGGAAGGGGCTCCTCCTCCATGTTCCTGCCCCAGCCCCAACCTGCCCAGCTCTGTGTAGGGGAGAGGGCAACATGACCATCGAACATACTGGTGTTGGGGCTTGCAGGTGCCAAGGACAGAGCTGGTCTCCCTGATGTGAGTCGTGGTCAAGGTCCCTGGCCCGTGCAGCTTGGCCTGGCCTCTGCTGACCCCTGGGGTAAAGAATGGGGGCAGGGGGACCGGAGCTACACTCATGGTCTAAAGGCTAGTTATTACTACTCTGAACCCTGAGTCAGCAAACCTATCCTGGGGCTCAGGAATAAACCACGCCTCCTGTGCTCCTCTGAACCTAGGCTGGCTGTAAAAGACACCAATAGCTGCAACAGTTCAGAATGTTCTCCATTTGGAAGCATAGTTAGGGCACAATGTGGAGTGTGTGTGTGGCCTTAAAGTAGCTGCTTGGATGCCTATCTAGTGGGGAAGCAGGGGCAGTGACAGGAAAGGTCCCTGGCTCAGTAGATTACAAAGCAATCTTGACGGTAACCCCAATGCTGTGTGACATTTGGAAAACCACTCAACCTCTCTGGGCCTTCGTTTCCACATCCTTCAAATAGAAATCCTAGCCTGTGGGAGGATCTAACCATGCCACATAAAAAACTTTTAAGGTCTCAAGCCATCAAAATCAAATCGTTGTTGATGGCTTTGCATTACTAGAGCAATGCCTCAATTATCCTGTGGTCTCAGGAAATGAAATTTACAGGAGACTCTTCCAGATAATGGAAGCTTATTCTCTTAATCCTCTGGGTTTGATTTTCCCATGTTAGGTAGGACAGTTTCTAAAATGTATCCAGTACCCTTTTCTTATTAAGCACACAATGGGAAGGGGGAGGAGGTGTGAGAGAAGTCACCCTCATGATTTATCCCCTAGTGGCTTCCGGAAAGTGCCTCCCCTCCCTGTGAAGCAGTGACCAGTACCCCACTGCCCAGCCCCATCCTGCGGGCATTTCTCCGGCCTCTTCCTGCTCAGTCCAGTTTCCTGGTCTCCTCTCTTTCACCATTGTCTGCCCCAGAGGCTCTCATCTAGTCCTTTCTCATCTGCTGTCTGTTAGCTGAGGATTAACGGAATTTTGCCTGGGGAAAGAAAGCGACCAAGCTTATTAAATCACAGCTATAGTAGACACACAATTTTAAGCCAATCAGCTTCGGCGTGATGCCTGAGGTGGCCCCCCCAGCCTTCTCCCGGGGCAAAGTACAAGAGCCGTGAGCAGCCTGGGCTTCCCCTGCCTGGTGTGAGGCCTGCGGCTGGGACTGACGCCCATGCCCATGCCGATAAGCATGATCATACACAGAAGCACAGAGGCAGCCAACAGCAAGGGAAGGGCTGCGTAGAGGGAGAGCTCTGTCCACAAGGTGGAATAAATATTCCTCCCCTCCCCTCGCTCTGCCAGGCCTGGGCTCGGCAATCCAGGCATCGAGCAGACCCGGGCGGGCCTGGGCCTGCAGAGAGCATGGTGGACGTGAGGGCGCTGTCCCGTGGGGGAGCAGCTGCCGGGGCCTCGGTGGGAGAGCAGCCACATTCCTCCCTCCGGCCTCAGCTGAGCAGCGCCTCCCTTCCCTGGCACCAGGCCTGTGCCAGGAGAAGAAGGTGCGTTGGGTTTGTCTTTTAACCCCTGGTTGGGCCTGCACGAAGGGGCAGCAGGAACTCCGTCATCTCTGTTTTACAGGTGGAGAAGCGGAGGCTCAGAGAGGGGGGCTGGCTGGGCTGCAGGGGGGTGGAGGCCCGTGCCCAGGCCTGTGACCTCATGCGCCAAGAGAAACCTCTGCACATGAGCAAAAGGAAACATGGGCAAGGGTGCTAACGGCAAGGCCTCGGGAGCAGCCCCCACAGCGCAGGGCAGGAAGGCAGATGAGTTCAGGGTGGTCTAACCGCTCCAAGGGAGAGCAGAGAAAACAAACAAGCTACAGCTACACATTTCCGCAACATGTTACACCAAGTTAAGTGACACACACAAGCCCCAGACTTGATACTTGGTTATAAAAGTAGAAAAGGAAAGAAAAAAAAAAAAAAAAGCAAATGAAACAAATATGGTAGCAACCATACCTGGGTAAAAACTGCTGTTTGAATTTTAACCCTGCTATTCTGGCTTCTGCACCTGCTTAAACATAGGGTGGTTACCTCAGCTTCCAGGTGGAGACCTGGAGGCTAAGGCAATTTTCCTGTGCCTGGGACCAGGACTGCAGGAGATTGATTCCCACAGACTCAGTAGCTTCAGGGGTAGAAACTGTAGATAACCTTTAGAGATTAACCGCTGAGCTCTGCTTCTGTGTTATCAGCTATCGCAAGATAGGGCCACATCCCAATGTCCCCAGCGGGCTGTTCCAAGCCTTTAGAATCTAGAATTCAGAACAAAGGGAAATTCCTGTGGTTTGGACCTTTAAAAGGACTGCCTGCACCTGGAACTGTGTGGTCGTGTGGAGTCCACCTGCGTGTGGTGCTCTTGTGGCTGTCCTGGCCAGTTTTCCAATAAATCCTTGCCTGCTTTTTTTAATCAATCATCAGCCTCTGGTGGTCTTATTTTGAACCCAGGGTTCGACCCCACAACACTTAAAAAGAAAAAAGAAGGTCCAAGGCTGGCGATGGGATAACAGGGAAGCAGAGGGCGGAGTCACGTGTTGAAGATGGAGGAGGGGCCATGAATCTGAGTGGCCCCCAGATACTGGAAGAGGAGAAAACAGTTCCTGCTTAGAGCCTCCGGAAGGAACCTGCCTGCCGGATGCCCCGGCCGTGGCCCTGTTCTAAGGCTAATTTCAGGCTCCTCACCTCTACACCTGAGAGACAATAAGCCTGGGTTGCTTTAAGCCACTAAGTCTGAGTAATTCATTACAGCAGCCACAGGAAATCCCCTTGTCCCCATCCACAAATCCAGGTGGTCTCCATGACAAGCCACTTATTTTCTT